GTCGCCAAAGTGCCGAAATATTCATTTTTTTATTTTCCTTATATGCGGGTTCGGACCCTCATTCGACTCAAGTTAGTCTCGATATATCCAAGAATATTTTTTGAACGAAGATATGTGTATAAAACTGTATATTTATCCCGAAATAGTGTTTTTAAAATGTATGTGTTGGTTATCAAACGGTGGGTGTTTTGCAATATTCCCAATAACGAAAATTCCAAGCGCGCGCAAATTCAATTTTTACATTGGAGTCTATAAGGATCAGTTTTTTCGGTGATTATTCCTCCGTGGCGAGTCCAATTTAAAAAATTCTTTTGTCTATGTCCATCTGGATGTACATACGCATGTACGTGCAAAATTTGATGACAATTGGTTGAGTGGTGCAAAAGAAAAACGCGGACAAAGAAGTTGCAAAGTCAAGTAAATTAGGAAAGGTTAGGAAAGAAATACCACCATATTGATGATATGACAAACAAGATCTTTATTTTACCATTTATTATTATCGCTTTTATTGTCATCACGTTTACCCATTATTGTCTAGACAAACACATAAATACATTACCGTAAAATCGAAGACATGGACAATCAGTGACAAATCGATGATATCGATCGATTCAAGACCTCCACCTCGATCTCTTACCGATCGTACTTTTATAATATTAACATACACATGTTACACAATCATCTATCGATTAGTATCATAGACAAAAGAAAGCTGATTCTCGCGTTTAGTTACTATCGAGCTTGCAAGCCCTGAGCACTAAAAGATTTACACCGACTACTGCTATACGTCGAAGATTACGCCACGGCTTCATTTATATATTTTCTTTTTTGAGCTTGTAAATTGTTGCCGTAGAAATCTCAAATTATTGTCTCAAGCAATTACATGATTTTTCTTTGTTATAGAAGTACATTTTTCGTTTTTGTTATTAATGCGCTGATTATTGGCGTAATTAGAGAGACACAAAATTACATAAATACTTACTATAACAACATTTATAATAATAATAAAATTAATAACAGTTCTTGTTCTAAAAAAATAAATAACAATTTCTGTAACAATATAAACAATAGTAATACTGTTAATAATAAAATAGTCCTTAAAATGATAAAAAATATAACAATTTGCATAATGATAAAAAAATAATATTTATAATAATTAAATAATTTTTATAAAATAGAAATAAATAATATTAATATCTTTACTCAAGTGCAATATGCAACTAAATACAAAAAATGCAATAGAGATCATAACATTATTTTTTGTCAAAAGATTAAATACTGCAAATGAAAATTACAGTGAGATTATTGCAATCATAATTTGCAACAATTTATAATTAAACAGTAAATATTTCTATCTTACCGACATATAAGTATGCCAATAATTATAATTTATATTTGCAATGTAATTCGTACATCCAACATTAACACAGTGCACACAAACACCAAAGAATTTTAGTAAAGTCATAAGACACAATTTGTGAAGAATTGAAAAAGTTCTGTTGAAATAATTAAATTAACTACATTCCAATTTCAAGCGTGCTTTACATTGCCAATATAAGAATAAAATTTCATATTGCAGACATAATCGGTATTATTTTAATATTATTAACGTTATAATTCTTAATATAACATTATTGTCACTGCTCATTGTCTAGTCAAACTCGCAATTAAATATTTGAAACGTAATCCTCAGTTTAAGATAAACAGACATCTCAGATAACAAAAGTTTAGTTTAAGCTAAATAAAAAAAACAATTATTACATCAAAGACTCGAGATCAAGTGAAAATTACTGGAGCAACGTACAATTTTATTTCTTCATTTTTACTTAGCAGTTGTATTTGTATAATTAAAATTAATTTGAAGAATTTATCTATTCACCATCTATTGATATTAAACGTTTAGGTTATAGTGTAACTTATCTCATAACCGACACAGTGGACAATTTGTCATGTACAAAATATGAGATCTCATACAACCCTTGGAAATGAAAACAAATACAAATTCTATACTAATCAACATGTGAAAAAAATATAATATTATACATAGACTATGTGATGTTATTTAAATCTGATAACTCCTAGTAAGTTCTACTCTCTTTCAAATTAAATAGCACTTTCCACCACATCAATTATGAGCGAACAAAATCTCCATTGAAAAACTACCACAAGAAAGTTATTATAGTAATATTTCCTAACATCCATAATTTATTAATGATGCTTTGTAAAAAATTGAACGTCGCTCAGTATTTAATTACGAACAGCCATTTTGTTCATCTCTTAAGTTTACTTCTTTAGAGTTAGAGAACAGTAAGCACTAAATTAAATACCGTACAAAGTCACTATCATATGTATATAATATGTATATATAAAATAGTACGTATTGTATATCCACAAAGAGCTTAACTAATTCATCTTATAAAAGTCTCTGTCGCTAGTGACAAACAATCTACAACACGAATTCGTACAAATCAACGCTATCACATCAAAAATAATACTTCCATTTCTAAGTACAAGGAATTTCAAGACGAGAGTAATTATAATAACAAGCATAACAGCAAGGGAGAAGCTTGCTCTGTTATTGTCTCATTTCTTTGTCCCCAAAAAATTGTTCAAATATAACCCTATGAACTGATTTCTATGGGAGAAAAATTACATTTCATTTTCTCTATACATAAAAATGTTTCTCTATCCTTTGTAAGTAAATCAAGAAAAATCACTAGCAACTGTTAAATGAAATGATTACCGACTGTAGGTAACTAGTAAGAAAAAGCGTTGGAAACCGATTTTCCTCAAGCAAAATGCGTACGATTGGCTAAATTTGCTTCTCTAAAGATGCACGAGCGATGGTATAGTAATTTCGTGATCAATAAATGAAGTTTTAAATGGTTAACGGCGGGCTAGGGAGTTTCTGGCGACATGCGTTATCGATGGTCGGTGACACAAGAAACTTGAAGCCGTGTCGATAATCTCGGTGCAAGGCTCGAACGTTGCCTTGAGGCTTGGGTGGCCTTGAGTTGGTATTTCGTCTTAGCGACCTTGTCGACGGGTTGGTGGGGTAGTTGGACGAGGACCCATCTGCGGAATTCTCCCTAAAATAAACATCGATTCTATTAGTGTCAGATCACGAGAAATGTCCCTAGACACACTGCAAATTACTAGTTCTATACAGCACACAGATTCTGCGTCTATTTGTAACTATCTCGTTGGCTATTTGGCGAGGTCTAAACATTTACTTGCTAAAACATGAAACAGATACGAAAATGATCGTCATGTGATTAAAAATCCCTATGATGGCTTGATTGATTGCTGCGTAAAAAATATGGAATACACAAGCACATTGGACAATTATGTTAGTCGCTGACAGGAGATACTTTGATGACGATGTTCAATAATGTGATACATTAAATCTAATATTTAACACTTAACTACTTAACGTTAAGGTAAATTGACCAGATATATTATAGTGTTTTTTATTTTTTATTATTCGTTATTTATGCTTTAGTTTTCATTAATAAATATATTGAGTATGTTTTAAGGAAATCTGGCCAGTTTACATTAGAGACAGTCAATGTTTTAAATGGCGCTTATTTTGAACAAGATGGCGCCTCCTTCCATCAAGATGGCGTCTCTTTCTATCAAGATGGCGTTTCTTTCTAACAAAATGGCTTTCTTTATAAAGAAAGTACATATGTAAATAAAATTACATTACATACATTATTTGTTAATAAATTAAATATAAATTTTGTACACATAATAAAACATTGTCTGTCCATATACTAAAAAGACAGTACAGGGCAGTCTATACACTGATTAACTATTAACATCAGAAAATAAAAATATATTAATCTATATAAATAAAAAACATTTTACCATAATAAAAAATAAGTCACTTACATCTGGCTGTCCAAGAAACTAACAAAAACTTAAAACTATTAAAAATAATGTTCTCCAATAGAATTTAAGTACTGTGCACGTCTGATAAGTTGGCACGCAAATCAATAAGATATGCAGTGCTTTCAGCTGCCATCTTACTGGACGCACATAGTACATAGAAGATACTTTGGAACTGGTTATTGCTTTTTGTGACAAATCTAATTCAAATAGACAACCCTGTGAAATGAATCAAAGTACAATAATACATATGTATATTTATAATAAACATGAATCTAGGACTATAATCTATTATCTATAATATTCCTCTCGCTAAACTAGCTAACGTACGTTCTAGTTACCTAGACATTTACTATCAACAATGACGGATGTTTGCGAAAGCAGAAGGGGCCTCAGATTAGGAAATTTGTTAAATTATTCAATTTTTAGTTAAAATAGAATTTAAATATAAATTGGCGACTGTTGGTACTTTTTGCGAATTTTCAAATTTATGAGTTAGAAAACTTTCATACTATTAAATTTTCAAATTTCCAGATTTTTATATTTCTGAATTTTCAAATTACCAAAATTTCAAATTCTAAAACCCCCACTTCTCAAATTCGAAATTTCCTATTTTTCAAGAACCCGAACTTACAAATTCTGAAATTTCCCAATCCTCAATTTCCAAATTCAAAATCCGCACGTCTAGTAAGATGGCATGCGAACCCATAGGATTTGCATTGCATTCGTATGCCAACTTACCGGACGCGTATAATACGTTGCAGCTAACTACCGTAAACGATCCACGTATAAGTGTAATAAGAACAACAAGAGGTTATATTTTCAAAAACTCATCAATTGCGTTGAAATTAAACAAATATATTCATTTTGCATAAATAAAATATTTGCCACTAGGATTTTTGCCGATTCGAAAATAAACTTGTTACTATTTTATTATAACTTTACTACTACACATGTTTGTTTTCTCATATAATATTTAGTAAGATGTTTCAATTATAAGTTACAAAAAAAAAAATTAAAAATAAAAATTTTGCATGAGTGTTAGGTTAACTACAATATCCTGTATGACGTCACCACCCAGACACATATATACTTATATACATAAATACATTTATAAGTGTTGTGTTAACATAATCTACAATGTACAGTCTTTATTATTACCCAAATAATATTTAAGATCCGTTAAAATATTTAAGAATTAATGTGGGATAATAAACATATGTAAAATTGTACTTACAACTTGTTAATTTCTCAAAATCCTAACTACGTTTTTTAGTATAGTATGCACAAGTACAATTTATCAAATAACCTAACCAAAACTGATACATTACCCAACACCATACATTATGCAACACCACCAAATTTCAAATATCATTTCACGGCACGTCAGTAAAATAGAAAACGATAAAAGTGTCAAAAAAAATTGTGTTCGAATGTACAAAAATCCTGGCAAACATATTTACACAAAAAGAGTATATCTGTTAAATTTCAGCGAAAAGTTTGAAAGTTTTCGAAAATTTCGCCGGAGGAACAAATTGTAGCAAATGAAGGTGAACGGTGGAACATCGACTTGCTTGCTCTACGGCATCCGGAGATCTCCTCTCTCTCTGAATGACGGTATTCCTCGAACAATTACTTTCCATCGTCGACGACGCGTTTCGTCGGTGGTCGATGACGATGAGGCTGCGGCTCGTTTGAAGGCAGCGCATTGCACGACAAAGTGAAGAGAGCGGATGACAGACAATCACGAAGAGAAACAAGGAGAGACAAATATACACACAGAGAGAGGAAGAGAGAAATGAGCAGGTGAGAACCTAATGGTCTGACCTGCTAACCAAATACCGAGGCGATCGCGAAAATCGCGCTGCCCTTATAGATGGTAGCCAACCAAGACGTGCCAGGGACGCGATGTGTCTTTTACTTGCTCGAAACGTTTCCGGGTAACCGAACTCGTCTATCGATGGCTGCATCTCCGGTGCAGAACCTGTTTCTGACATTCACATATTGCCCTCGGTTTATCGATCATTGATTACACACTTCGGCTACGGCTGTTACGGATATAACAAAACTACGTGTGCTTTTATTCTCGAGAGCGCGCGAATCTGTGGCGTGGAAACGAGCGCCATCTCAGTATGAAATTACGAAACACTTTGAAAGGTAAACTTTACTTTGGAACACGCGAAATTATTAATTTTTGACCACTTAGTAGTTTTCATTGTTTAAAATACGAAAAAACTAGTTTTAACATTAGACATTCAGAGATTAAGTATTTATACGCACGTCAATTGTGCTTTTGGCGCGTTTAGCTACTGCGACGCCATATTGGATTCTGCGCATGCGCCGACGGTCGGTCAAGTGGATAATGTTATTAAAATGGTAAAACTGGTTTTCCGGTCACTAATTGTAAACAGATATTAGTTTTTTTTTTTTAAATAGACGACATTATAAAATAATTTTAACACTCATAAACATAATCTAATAAAATTATAGATAAAAATCAATGGCATTATACTCACATATCAAATAAGCTAAAAATATTCAACTTTACATACGCATGACTTTCTGACCGTTAGAGTTCTGGCATTAAAATATTTTTGTATTCTGAACATTAAAAATTAGTAAATGGTATAAAAATGTCAACAATTTTTAACAGTTACCAACACTATTAAATAAATATTATTAAAGACTGTCAACTGACATGTTTACTATAAGAGATCGTGTGTGATAAATAATTTAGTATTTTGTAATATCCTGAGGAAAAAGAAATCGGCAAACGGTATTAGAAAAAGATAAACGGGTAAAACGGATAGCACTGTCGATATTATTGCTTTCTAGTACTTACCTGGGGTTCTCGAACCCCAAATCAGTTAAGTTTAGTGCTTTTCCCTATTTTACCTATAATGTCCAAACCGAAAATTCATGTACCCTCGAGAACAAATACCTAGTATTGTTATATCTTTTGTCAATGAACTACGGTTGACGGGTTTGCCTATACATATTTTACACGGTGGCTCAATATCGATGTACATTTCTGTGTAGTGTAGGCGTGCTTTAGGTTAAGTTACTTAGGTTTTGTGACTTTTGGTTTGACAAAATGTGGGAGACATTTTTAGGTTAAGGTCGGTATTTGCTTGGATTATTCTTGAGATTTCCCTGGTTGCCTACAAAAACGTAACTGACGGAAAGGAAATATGTGTAGGACAACTTAGCAGGAGTCTTAAATTCAAAGGAAATATGTGTAAATTTGAAAATTATCTAATAACCTGGACTTTTTTATTTTTATATCATAAAATTGTCAACTTGATATATCTGTGTACTCAAATTGTTAAATTTCTAAATCTACATATTTTCAAACTTCCAATTTCCTAGACACCAAAATTCCCTAAAATCTAAAAATTCTAACATCTCAAAATTTCTAAATCACTACAATTAACTTAAAAATTTGCAAGTTGATAATTTGAAAATTTAAAATATCTAAAATTTATCAGGCAAAAAGAGTGATGAAAAATTCCCTTTTCCTATATCGCCGATAGTGCTATTATCTGCACAGTGTCAAAACTAGAATTTTTACATGGCAAACAGAAATTATTTATTAGGTACAAACTTTTTTCTTTCAGGTTTTAGTGACCTAGGTTATCGCGATAACTCTGCCATGAGGTTTTCCGGACGTAAAAGTGTCCTTGCAAAGTTATATTCCGACGATTCACCAGCAATGTTCCGCAAAGCTAGCTTCGTCAGCAGTTTCGATATATCAGTGTGTTTTCAGTCCGCTTATGAAGTTAACTGAAACGTCGGAGTATCACTTCGCTAGGATACAGTTTATATTTGGAAATTTCAGGAAGGAGGATATCTATCACTTTACCAGTTCACAAACTCGTTTTTGAAACGTGTAATTGAAACATATTTCGAAATATATATTTGCTATGACACTTCCACCTCTATTTATCAAACTATTAATTTATCTAGATACAAATTGATGTAATTAAAAATTTATTTAATGTAAAACTTATCAACTTAAAAATATTTGCTAATCATTTGCTTGTAATTATAAATAACATAAATATCAATATACTATAGAAATAAATACAGTAATAAGACTATTTAATTTTAAATAAATTAATACGAGAAATAAATTGTTACTGCACATCTCTGTAATTTAATATTTATTATATAAATAAATAAGCGCAGCCATCTTGCAGTCACGTGATCAACTGACCGCGTCAAAATTTAAATATGGCGGCCCGGAAGTAGAACACTCGACTCATATTTTTCTATATTCCATCAGATTGTGAACTAGCAAAAAATGTCTCGATATCTTTTATAGTTTTTAAAATGTACATCTATTTTGAGATACCTTGTAAAATATTTTTAAATAGTACTGGATTATTTTTGTCAAATATGAGAGGATAAGGACTGGTTATAACAGGGAAAGGAATTTGATGAGACGCATAAATACGATATTAATTAAATTGAATTATTGTATAATATCACATAATGCTGAAAAGAATTAAATATTTACGCTTGAAATCTTCCTAACATTTCTTATTTTTATACTAAATTCCTATATTAAATTTCGGTATCAAATTATTTATATTAAATTTCTATATCAAATTATCTGTAAAAAATAACAATATTATTATAAGTTTCTAAAACTGTAGTTACTTTGATATTTTTATAAGTCCAACCAAAAAATTTATCTATCCAAAAATATTTATTCTCCAACTTCCCATTTCTTATAAAATCAACACAATAACCTCAAAGCAAAAATACTCTTACAATTCCGAAAATAATAATAAATGTTAACAAAAATATTTTACTCACCCAAGAACCTTTTCTCGGCGATCGGATATTGTCCATTGAGTGCCTCCATCATTTCCTCATAATCGAATACATTGGTGTTCTGCATTACCGGCAGTGGATACTCATCCGAGAAACCGATCTGCCTCTTGGGTCTCCTGTCGCTGAAGCCGTCGTTCGTTTCAAACTCGTTCCAGTTCTCCACATCGTCGTAATCGTCCTGATTTTCCAAACTGGCCAGTTCCTGAAGATCCATCAGATAGTTTCTCGCGTTCAGCTCGTCCGATAACGATCTGCCATGACGAGAGAGGGCTCTCAGGATCACACTTCCGGGCACGGAAATTCCTCTCTTCAGTGACACGGGCCATGCCGAGTTTTTCGCCAACGAAGCCACGCTCCTCTGCTCTCTCATGGGGAAGTCGCCGATTCTCGCCAAGGAACCAACGTATCGTTTCCCGTAAGGTAAACCATAATCTCTGGCCACGGAGGCGATGTTTCTTTTCCCGCTCTGGGGCAACGTGAAAGTCCTGGCTAACGATGCAACGTTTCTTTTGCCCTCCATGGGCAACATGCGGTCTCTGTTGTTCTTTGTTTGCGTCTCGTAGTCCCGAACGAGGGAAGCAATGTTTCGTCTGCCCGGCGGTAACGCAAAGTCTCGCGCAAGAGTGCCCACGTTTCGTTTATCCATCGACTCCTGAGGGGAACCCTGGTTGGAGAATAGGTAGCTCTCGGAAACTTCGGATCCTGGTTGCTGACTGTAGGGATTTATGGTCAGGCATTAGTTGCTGCTTGATTTAGTTTACGGAAGTTCGGTAAGTTTGGCTTGCCTTGAGTGGACGTATCGAACTCGTTTACAAAAGACACGTTGGTGAACGACACTAAGTAAGCTAAGTAGTATTTGCAGTAAGTCTTACAACTTCAATTATAGAACTTCAAGATGCTTTTATAAAAATGCACATAGACTAATTAGAATTACCAGAGAGATTTAGAAATATAGAATTTTAGATTTGACAGATTTTTTAATTTTCATATTGTGTACATTAAGTGTTTATGTCTTTAATAACTTTAAGTTTTATGTTTTTAATAACTTGAATAAGTTTGATGTAACATAACCTAATTTAAATTAATGTTAACTAAGTTAATGTAACCTAATTACAATCATTAACAATTGCAAATAAAATAACAAGTAAATAATACATTACGTAAGTGGTTTTTGGTTAAATACCACAGACTTCACAAAATTAATTAAGTTCTTCTAATGAGATTAAAATTCTATTTCATAAAAAGTAAATTATAGTCACATAATCATAAGTGTTAATTATTTATAAAGTCTGAAAATGATAATGTAGCGTGTAAGATTTTATTTGGAAACCAGACCAAAATCTATTTTATAGAAAAAATGTAGTCAATTATATTCTCAAATATTACCAATTCTTTTTTTATAAAATTCACAAGTAGTAATATAGAAAACAAGATTTTATATGAGAGGAGGATAAACATTTATTTTATTGATAGCAAAATGGGGCAGTACGACTCTCATGAAGATTGTCAATTCTTTTTTATAAAATTTGTAAGTAATAATGTATGATAGAATTTATTTGAAAATAAGACCAAACTCTCACAGAAAACAAAATGGAATCAGTTGGAATTCCTTTAAAACAGTCTTCATGTAACAATACAATATGCAAAATAATTTTATAAATAACATATTGAATAAATAAAACTTGATTTTACTACTAATATCTTGAATTAATAAAACTTAATTCTACAAATAATATCTTGTATAAATAAAACTTGATTTTGTAAATAACAAGTTCCTAACTAAACCAAAACATTATCAGAACAAAATAGCGGTCCAAAAATGAATTCCATCAGTTTCCAAGATTCTCAAATACAAGATGGATGAAATACACCTGTACCTAGAAATGATTGCCCTTTTTTCCTGATCCTCTTCATTTTCACCCACGCGATCCTGAATGCTGATAGGAAGGTCGTCATTTTTGGCAAGAGTGGCAATGCTTCGTTTCTGGGATTCGGACATCAATTCCATTTCCGGATTATCGTCGTACAGTCGGCCAAGTAAATCCGAGAACCTGTGGGATCTTCCGTTCATGGGATAACCGGGATCTGCGTTTGGTTCCTTCAGAAGTTGCGAATAAATACGAGAAGGCACACAAATCTCTGCGTCGTCGGATTCTTCGGCCAAAGCTCTCAAACGTGCGATGTCGCGATTTCTGTTGTCGACTCTTGAGTAGGCGGCCAAGTTTGGGTTCACTTCCGGTAGACGTACTAGCGACAGGAAGGCCGTTCTGGGCATACACTGAACGTTGTCTTCATTCTGGCACGTCACCTGCAACAAAAAATGTGGTTTTTAATTTTTAGAAGATTTGTAGCGGTAAAAATAATTATACTCTTAATGGATATATAATAATAAGTGAATAATAATTATATGAAAAATTGGTTAATAGTGGTGCAAATAAAAAATTGTGAATTTTAGAGAAGAGGATTTTCAATATAGTAAGTAAAGGTTTTATTAATTATAATGTATTATTATTAGTTTATGAAGTGTGTAAGTTATTAACTTATTAACTAATTAGTGAGTTAATGATATATTTATTAAATAATTATTAATTTATAAGTTAATGATACAATATTCATATAAATTGTTAATGTACAAATATGTTAATTATAAATAATATTAAATAATAACAATAAAAATATAATGTAGTCTTTCTAATAAGAGGAAACTTGAAACTTTTTGTATTATGCCACCATTAATGGCAAATAACGACATAATTAATTATTGTCGATTCTATTAATTAATTTTACATTAAATTTAAGTTTATTTATTTACTTTTTGTTTATTCCGTTTATTCTCAAATATTTGTACATTGAATAAACAAATAATTATTGTTATTACTTGTGCTATCATTACTTGTAAGTGGATAAATTATATGATATGATAATATTAACAATAATTTAGTTTATCTATCAACAATATTCATTTGAAAAATAAAAGCTGTTAAAAATAAATATACTATTTATTTGTTTGATTAAAAATTGTAATGCTTGATGTAAATAGGGGAAAATACATAACCGTGAAATTTTTCCATAAAAATTTAAATTTTTCTTGAGATAATATTTGAAGATAAAAACATTCTGTGACGGAGAGTATGCAATAGAATGTGCAACGCTTCACTGAAATCTTATTTTTCGCTTGATGTCACACAGGTAATTTATCTTATAATGTCGGATGATGTTTTGATGCAAAAACACTGTTCCGTATGCATGAAATTTTCAAAATGCATGAAAACGGAATCCGGTAACCGTAATGTAGTTTTAAAACCATTTATTATTTTCTTACTATAAACGTTGATATAAAATATTTATTTCAAATACTTGTGATAAATTATATTGTTTAATTAAACATATTATTTTAATGACTAAATTAAAAATTTAATATTGTATTTATGAAATATGTAATATATTATAAATGTATGTAATGTACAGAATATAATGAGTTAAACATGTATGCAATATGCATATAAAATATATTAAATATGTATGCAATATAGGTTATTATTATTATGCACATTATACACTAATATTACATACATTATATAATAATTATGTAACAATAACAAAAACAATAATATTACACACATTATAATATTATTATTATAGAATAATTTATTATAAATATTTCAGTAAATTAATTTTCTATTTTACAAATATACATACAATGATGGTATTATAGTGTATAATACATTAATTTACTTTTTAAAAAATCTATTAAATTTTTGTAAGTAACAATTCAAATTCTAATTTGACCAAAAAATATGTAAACAGGGAACACAAATGATTCACTGATTATGAAGTATATACATACTAAATTATATCAGTTCAATTTAATTAACAATTTAAAAAATAACTAAAATGCAATAATAACAATCTAAAAAAAAATTAATGTGCAATTTAAAAAATTTAAAAAACAACTAAAATACAATGTCAACAATCTAAAAAAGTATAAAGACGCAATTTTAACAAACTAAAAATGAATTAAAATAATACAAACCACGTTTTGCTAAAAAAACGTGAAATGTAAGAAACAAGCATTTTCGCAACACATTGTCGTGTGTAATAATTAATGAAAGAAACGTATTACGTATGCAGAGTACGTAAACACACATGCGAGAAAAGTGTCACGTGCTGACATTTAATTTTTTAAAAGAAATGTTTGAGAGAAATTATCCAGTTCGAATTCACGGTCGAAACAACGAAATTAATCGGTGCATCATGCGAAAAATGGCGGACAGCTGAATGTAATTAAATGTTCGTCGTGTCATCGAAAATTAATTTCGTATATTCATGTTAGTGAAAATGTCGTTCGAAGCCATAACCATCGATTTCGTACAAATAACATCAACGCACGCGTGTCGCTTGTTATTTGTCAGATAGTTATAATTTATAATGGATTATTACAAACTGTTATTAAACGTTGTTGTATATTGTAGTAGATTATGGTTATAAATTATTAGAAGTCACACATTGTTGTTATAAGTTGTTATAAATAGTAATATATTATAATTGTAAATTATTAGAAGTTATTGTAAATTATGGTTAGAAATTATTATAAATTATTGTAAGTAAATAAATTGTAAATTGTCACAAATTGCTATTGTAATTATATAAAATTATTAACTACACAAAATCGTATATAATTATTTAACTATAAGCTATCAAAAAGTGTTGTATAAAAATTATTGCCTATAAATTTTCCATTAAAAATGATTGAAAAGTTGTTACAAATTTAAATAAACAACAGTTATAAATTATATCTATTACTATTATATTTATAAAAAATTATTATTAACTAATTAACTTGTTACAAATTGTTAAAAAATACTATTACATATATAAAATTATTACAAGTTATTAACAAAATGTTGTAAATCAATAAATGAAATAAATGTGGAACAGAATTATCGTTCCTAAATCTGTCATTCTCAATACACAGCAGTTTAGTTCTCGATTAATTTTAATCGACTCAATTACATAATCGAATAGAATTTAGTATAATGGATAGGAACATATGTTTCTGATACATTTATACGCTTCGCTGCACGAATCTGTGTCTGTTACTCTCCTAGTAACGAAGAATCGTTTAATTAATATTCACGTTTCCTGGGAACCTATTAAGTCAGTCTAATACGGAAGGAAACGTTCTCTACTACATACATATATGCATATGTATTTTGTAGTACCAGTTAATTGTAACGGTTTAATATCAATCTTAAAATAAATAATTTTTTTAAATAAAATTATTTATATATATTCTTATAATAAAATAAACAGCAAGATATCAAATAATAAATTAGTGTGAAAATAATTTTATAATAGCATTATATTATTTTACAATGTTATAATAATATGAAATAATAAATTAATATAAAAAAGTAATTTCTCATTTTTTAATTTTTTGTGGAATTATATTTTATATTAGCAATACCTTATTTTGACTACCATCACTAATTGTTTATTAACTAATATTATTATATTATAACTTAAAAAGAACGTAAAACAAACGTAAAGTAAACGTAACATAAACCTAACCTAACCTAAAGTATCATAAGTTAATCTATACATCGCATCTCAATTAAATAAAATTACGTCCCGTAAACGCTCTATTAATTCATAATCAGAGAATCAAACACAGAAACAAAGTTTGACAGCTATAACATTAAAATTTAAAACAGTGAAAATGGCGGAAACTCCTTGAAATGGCGCTGCGACAGGAACACGTGTTACGTATGCTTCACAAAATCCAAACAGAATTAAACTTTGTTGCACAATTGTCACTCATGCAACCAAACTGCGAACACGTGCGCATCACATTGTGTACCGTAACCAAAATAGAATATACCGCCCTACGAGTTTCGCTAATTTTCGACGTCATTCAAATAGATTTTACTTAATTAGATGCCGGAATATGTATCTTACAATTAGCACCTAGTAGTATGCTCATCTGCAAATGGAAGTAGGTATTACACTTTTTTAATTCTTCAAAGTATTATACATATTATAAAACTATACAATGTAATAATATAGAACATAAAATTATTATGAGATTCTCCTATTTTACTGAATTTTATGTTTAATGAAATTTTTGAAAATATTTTTTGTCTTTTGTATTAAAATTTGTATTAAAACTCTTTTGATATGTTAAAGAATATTCTTGTAAATTTGTAAATTGTAAAATTGTAAATTTACAATATCAATTTTTTTAATAAATTGTTTCAGTAAAAACTTTGCCTAAACTCTAATTCTAATAAAACAAATAAATTTAATAATCAAGGAAATTATTAAAAGCATTTTGTAATTAAATCTTTTATAATTTAAATAAACTTTTATTAATTCATCTTGTCTTCACAAAATCTTGCAAATATACTACATAATTTTCTTTAAACAAATAGTAAAAAATTCTTTAAACATCAATACAAACTTCTTCAGATCTCAAACATTCGACCTGCAAAATTTCTTAATTTTTCAAATTGAGAACTAACACAGCTACCTATCAAATCGCACATATATGTAAATTTTCCGTGATCGCAATTCCGTTTATAATTCGAAGTCAGCTATACTCTGTATCGAAGAAAATTGATTTTGAATTGTTGCCAATTCTATATTCAGCTCGCGATAATTACATCAAACACCGCCTACCGCCATCAAAAGCCTATGAAGGATCAACATTTGAAAAGGATTGTTTACAGAGCGCGATCGGTCATCAATATGCTGACGATTCTCTGTGCTGTATTTATGACATTTGATTGCTTCTAGACAGACTGCCAATGTTCATTTAATTAGAAGAACATATAGGAACAGAATCTTTATTTTATTCGCCTTTTCTTTCGGTGAAAACGTTAATGCCTCTTCAAATTAAAATTGCGACAGTTTAATGAATCTTTGAATTAAAAAATTAAGCACATTCTCGAAATTCCAAATCTCAAATTATGTACATGAATATTTTAACACTTTAACATTTCGTATTTAATAATTTTCGTATTTACACTTAATTTAAATAAACAAACGTAAACATAAATTAACATTCACTTTAATTCGCTTCTATGAAAATCAACAGATGCCGAAAAACTTTAGCAAATTGTGTAATTTATAATAAACCTAACCCAATCACTCATTTGTCGACTTTGGTAGTTTTAATAACTTGGATTATATTAAATGAATAAATTGCAATATATTTCATGATTTTACATCTGCAATTGGATGTACGAATTTTACAAACTTGGAACAGTTGTTGAGAACGTTAATTGCGTACAGTGAAACTGAACAGCGGTACAATGTTGCTCGATATTGCAGGAACTTCATTACACGTCAGCTCACGACACAACATGAAAATTTATTACGTCAAAACAGCGAGGGATGACACTAAAGAGGCCACTTGAAATTTAACACTAGAACTACACCGGACAAAATCAATTTCACAATTTCATTTTAAAATTACTTCTTGTTGCATTGTTTCGATGCGATAACTTTTGCAAGGGATAACTAAAAGTGTAATATAATGAAATTTCGTTTCGTTTATTTGGAATCAAAATAATTTTGTGTTGTGACTATGTACGGTAATACGTCATTTTCACTGTGCTTCTCAAAGTAGAAAAGTATACTGTAATCTGTTTACCGAACCTCGAAATCGTTTATTAGATATTTAGATAGATTTGTCGATGTTTTTTTGGGAAACCTGATCGCACTAAACATCTTCTGTGATAGAAACAGTTTAACAATAAAGAATAACACTTTTTGTATTTATAACCGAAGATATATTACTTCACTGTTTACACAGCGTAATCACAGCGCGCACATTATTTCTACTGTTTTGGCGGGAAAAAACAACTGTCACGCGCCGGGCCCGATCAGTTGTACCAACTTAGAAAAAATTTTAAAACAATGTCGCCAACAGAAGAAACTAATTTCTTTTTTATTACCAACGTAACAATCTGGCGTTATATAAACATGGCCGTAATACAACGTTGGAACAGGATCTAATTCTTTTTTATATAATAATATTTTACAAATCCTAAAAATGAAAATCTTTGAATTGTAAAAGTGAAGAGTATATAAATGGAATATTCTGATATTAAGGACGGTGAATTTTATGAGCACGAGGAAAGTGAATTACAAGTAAATGAAATTGAACATTACAGTGATAATGGAAGTGTAGGTAGAGAAAATGGAAGAAGACGCGCTGTGCTTCTAAATTCCGAATATGAAAACGGAAGTATACAAGATGATTAAAATGAAATTACTGTAGAACTAGGCGAGAAAGAATTGTTAATTATATTATTATAGTAATTATACTTGGCATTGTATAGCAGTTATAAATATATTTTATCATGTATGTAGTGAACTAGAAAATTACAAAATTAAAGAACTAGAAAGACAGAAAACAGCATAACTAAAAACCTATTATTACAAAACTACAAAACTAGAAAACAACAGAACCAGAAACCTGAAAAATTCTCTTAAAATGCTCTCATCAATTTCCCATAACAGTTTCCGGATATTTTCCTAAAATTAACTGTTGAAACGAGTCGGCAAATTTTGTGGCACGTGTAATGATTATTACACGCCGGCTTAATGAAATAATTTGTTTTCTCTGGTAACGTGAACCGAATGTCACCTTAGGAATGCAATTTAATCTACGTGGGTTAGGCTAACCTTGCTATACTGTACTTTACTGAAGAAAAGCGATATGAACAGATAGGATCAGATTTAATGAGACAAGCTTTTGATTATCGGTGACACGATTATACTATCTAACCTAATCTTGTGTATTAGTAACATATTTCGTTATAATTTACAGAATGAATTCGGTGGATTACTAATTTGCCGAATAAACGTTAAATTAAACGCACGATTAGGTACATGCCTATTTATACTCTGCTCGAAATTCAAGGTATTTAACCACTCGCGTTGGAATTTAATCGATAACTACGTTCACCGCGAGAGTTTATTTAATTTTTCAATTATTAACTGGGAAAAATTAGCGGTAGCGTAATCAAATAATAGGTTTAATGTTTTTGTAATTATGGAAGAAAAATATGTATTTTATTGTTTGAGGTTAGGTGTTTGCGTTGTTAAGAATATTTTATTTTGCATTAATTATTTTAAAATTTAAATACTTAAATATTTTAAATATTATTTTTAAAATATAAATCAAATAATATTTAAAAATTTTTAATTTTAATATTTAAAATATATATAAGCATATTTATAAATTTTTAAAATATGTAACAATGATTTTTGATAACAATAAATCAAATATTTAAATTAGTTGAACTCTTTGTTTGTTGAGTAATTGTTTAAAGTATTTCAAAGTATAAAATAAATATTATGTGACTGACAAAAGATATTTATTTTAAAATATAGTTCATAAAATTCATTACTGTATGATTATTATGAAAAATAATTAATAAAATTATTACATGTGAACATATTCCAAATAAATAAATTTACTGGACGTTTAAATTAAAAGTACATACACAAATAAAGCTTGTAGACAAGTAAATTATCTGATTGGTTAAATAGAGTGGTTCAATTAAGAGTAAAATAATTTTAAATTTCAACGACACCTGGTAATGGCTACAAGAAATACGTAAAATCGTTATTAAAGTAAAAAGGTCAAACCACGAGTGGGTGGTATGCAATTCACTTTAGACCCAGAATACCTATAACGTGTGGTGACGATTATTGGTTAATAGAATTTTTTTTATTAAACTGCCACTTTGTTTCAATATACAATGTACGTACTTTTATTCTCTGTATTTTCTATCACAAGATCATAAAGTTTTCATTAATTCTTTATTACACTTAATTGCAAATATTCTGCATAAAATAATTTATTATACATTTTTTCTTTGACACAATTAATTTAATAATGAACAAAATTATTGAACACATTTTTTTATGTGTTCTCTGTAATATAATTTTAATTATAGAATATTGCAAATTTGAAATATAATATTTTTCTGTGAATAAATTTTCTTAACAAAAAATATTTATTTTTTCTTTATTGTTAATTGTAAAAGTATAAAAATATATTAATTTATTATTATCTTATTGTTATTGTAAACATTGTAAATATTGTAAAAATATATTTGTTTACTGTTATAATACTTGTAAAGCAAATATAGCAACAATATAGCACAGTTTACTATAATACACTTTTCTTTTATAGCAGTGAATTTAAATTACCAGCAAGTTCCAATATTCGTTCACTTGTATCAAAATTAAAAATCTGCAATATTATTTACTCAACATAATAGTGAATCGGAACACCCTACAATGATTAAACATTGCAGTATTCAAACATTAACCTGAATGTTCGTGTAATTTGCATAAACCAACATGTGCAATCGTATTTGTTCAAACAGGTCTTTGTAACCTAACCTAACCGAGATTTCAAGATTTCGAAGGCTAAAAAGTTTCGCTTGAATAAAATCAGTTCTATTTGTCAGGTAATTTGCATGAAGTTGGCGCAAATAACGAACTGCGATGTACGCAGATGTTCAATGCCTGTGCATTCGGTAGAATCTACTTATTCCACAATATTTTCTCCTTTATTTCCAACGCACAATTGATAGAATCTAAGAAAAAAAGTTACAGACAAGATTAAAGTTTTTATTATTGTAATGATGTTGGTAATAGTTTCTGGAAGGTTAACCCCTTAAAAAATGTTTACGTTGGATGTTTAAATTAACACAAAATATTAGTCTGATTTTTTAATTAAAATAACTTATTTTTGTTTGTATAAAATGTTTTTGTATAACACATTTTTTAAATAATTTGCAACAAAATAATAATTCAACAGTATATGGTTTTTTAACATTTTTTTAATTTTTAGGTTGGTAATATATCAAACTTTTAACAAAATATTGAATTAATTTATTCTTTTTTTAACAATGTAAACAATTTAAATAATTTAAAACAATTTTTTCTTTGCATAGAATGTCTTCATACAACAGCCCACATTTTATGATTAAGATGGCGCTCAAAATGTATTCTTTTATTATTCCATAAAAGAATTATTTATATATAAATCATTAATTGTTTATGTATCATAAGTGAGTTAAATTTTAAAAAATAAATTGTTAAATGTAAACTTGTTAGTGGTTAAGTAAATGTAAATTTGTTAATTGACAATTAGGTTAGAATAAGCTTCCATGATTTTCTAAGGAATGGTTGTCTTCAGACTTACGGCATCCAAAGGACATGCCTTGGAATGCGACCTTCGACGAATTGACGTTTGTGTCCCCTTTAAATATACGTGATATTGGGATTGTTAGAATTCTTATTCGATTCTGATGGAACCAAAGAATAGCTACAATAAATGTCAAAAGACGTCACCTTACAAATAGGATGTGGTTCAATAACATCCTATTGCTTTGATGTCAGGATGCGAAATGGACACATCAGGGATTGCGCATATCTTCACTTTTTTTAGTTTTTAAACGGTGAACTTTGAAGATTTGATATTTTAATATTTTTGGACTTTTTAATTTTCAGATTTACACAATTGTGAAACTCCTAAAACATTTTAATTAATAAACATTTATTACGTGAAATATATCTTGAATCATTAATTTAATTTATAATGAACGTCAAATATATTTTGAACCATAAACCGAATTATAACTAACCTCAAATATATCGAATGTCAAAAATTCTATGACAAGTTTTGTTATTACCTTTTCTAGCACAGTAAATTGTTTCACAAGATTTCTTAATACTTCGATTGGTGTGTTTACAAGATTTAGAAAACACAACAATAATTCCAGGATATTTTAGCATATTTCCGGAGAAAGTTTACCGTAAGAAGCCGGAAACCGTTTCGACAAAGCGCAACGACAAGTGACAAAGCGTTTTCCAATTCACCGGAACGAGTTTCAATAGCAACCACTCTAGAAACACAGTTTCTTTTTCCTTGAAAGATATATTTCGTATTCTACCGGTGTTTTATCCCTCTTTTGCACATAACTGTCTGCATACCAGCTGTTTTTATCGTTATATTGTAGCTTCATGCAAATATTCCTGTGTCACTGACGTCGACTTTGAGGTACGTAAGATTCGTTAAAGATAAACGTTTTTTAACAGAGTCTCGATGTGATTGAAAAGAAGTACGTAAATACAGTGTTCAATTTATACGAAATTCTTTAGAGGAAATAATATCACAGTTGTTGTTTCTATTTAATATAAATTCAATTCATTAAAATTCAATAATTGGTTATTAAAAAATTTTTAAACTCGAAAATAGAAAAATGGAAAAATAGAAAAATTAAAAAACTTGAAAACAGAAAAATAGAAAAATTAAAAAACTTGAAAACAGCAAAATAGAAAAATTACAAATTTGCAAACCTCAAAATTTAAAAACATATAATCTTGAAAGCTTGAAATTTGAAAAATTTGAAAACACGAATTTATCACTAAAAATCATACTTTTGACCGTTGATACGTTTGAGATAATAATATTATCTACTATCAAAAATGTTCATCCAAATCTAAAAGTTCATTTAGAAATTACGTAAACGCACGTGTTACCAGGAAAAAACGTTCATCAAGCAATTTCGTCGATATTTTGTCGACTGGTTTACGGGGGTGGTGTAAGTGACAAGAATAAATCATGATACATGTGCCCCCGAACGAGTACACACCAAGTGATAACACGTTCGCATGGATATGATTAATATGCCTGGTGAAAAGATACTGACGGACTTTCTGTTCACCTTTTCTTCCCCTCTTTGACTAAAAAAAAATAGTAAATATACGTCACAAAATATATATTTATATATATGTTGCGAATTTAATTTTATTTTATAATTTTATTAATTTTATTTTAGTTTTTATCATTTTTAATTTTTTATAATTTTTTTATAATTCTATGTAAAATATTCTATGTAAAGTTAAATTGTATTAAAACGTATATACTCTGTATTTCACAAACTATAAAATATAAAGAATGTATATATATATTGTTTATATTTTATAATTTTTATATATATTATGTATATAGAATTATAAAATTATATAACAGTTAAAAATGAAACACTGTATAGTATGTTAATGACAAATAAATTATATATTATTTGTTATAAAAATTATCTTCACACTAATATTATATAATAATGTTCTAACAAAATAATTATTAATTGTTTATTGCGACTAACATATCTGTTTTCAACAAAGTTGCTTTTAAAAATGTTATTTAAATAAAGATTAAAAATTATTTCCTGAAAATTGTAAATATTTATTATTATTTGTAACATTAATTTTAATTGACAGATCTCGTTATCTCTTTTCATAAAAACTGAATTTATGCTGAAGCTAAATATATAAAAGTGTCCGAATAACGACGTATAACGAATTTTATGAAAGTCGTATTTCGTTTTGTATAAATAACCGGAGGAAAATTCAGAATCAATGAGATTAAATGCAGCTTTTAAATGCCAGAAATAAAAGATATGACATGGAGATGTATTATACATATAATTAATTGAAGCTTTTGATCGTTTTAAACATTTTATATTCATATTATTTTCGACACTTCTTCGATAATATGTTACAGATTCATTTTATACGTAATTTCGTATAATTATTATTGCGAATAAGCTGATATTTGAAAAGAAGAAATAAAAGCGTAATAAATATGAAATTTTCAGGATTAAACGATAGAGTATTTAAATTCAGATATGCGTCGTTTGAAATAAAATTAATTATAATAAATTATTTGTATTATAACAATTGTTAAATTAATTATTAATATTTTTTTAATATTCAAATCTTAAAAAATTGCAAAATGTTAATATATTTTTAATATACAAACCTTAAAAAATATTTAAATTAACTGTTAATACTTTAGTAATAATCAAATTTGAAATTAGTATTAAAACTGTAAATATTAATTGCTGTTAAACCGGTTTAAATCGTTAATAATAATAAATATTAAAACCTCAAAGCTAATAAAAGCTCCATAAACAAATACTCCTATCTTTATTTGCAAACTAAAGTAAATAAAAAGCTTTATAACCCACTGTCCACCAATCTTCATAAAACACAAAATGGCGCCGAAAACGTTTACGGCGTAATTAAAAAATGCAACAACTGTTCCGCGTGCTTTCAAAGAGTACCATAATAAAACGAGCAGTATGCGTCAATCGAATGTGTGGAATTTGTTCCAAACAGAACTTCCGGAATTTCTGCGCGTGAATAACGATGTTCTGTCAGGTTTGCGTTTAAATAATTCACAGCAGGATCAATTAAACGCGTTAAATACCGTAATGAACAGGAACAAATATAACCTAACACGCTGTCAATTATAATTCGTTTTTGGAACACAATATCATTTAACGTACCGCTTAAAATTTTTCACTACGTCACGAAATCATATTGTTTAAAACTGCAATTAATATATAATATTATATATACATAATATCATTAATTTATAATTGATCATTATTATTCAAAATCATATTTTAGTGTCATTTACAATTTTCTTTGTTACATTATCTTCTTCAAATTATTTCAATCTCAAAATGTACATCCTTCCTTTTCTTTTAGGTTACATACATAATTATTTTAAATTTATGTTGCAAAATTTTTGAAGATATTTTTAAACATTACACACTTCTTATTTATCTTTTAGATTATTGTAGAAGTACTCTTAGAACACACTTCCAAAAATAAACATTTAATATTCGCACACTGTATTATATTTTAAATATAAAATATATTTTGCTACTCGTTATATTTTTGTAACTCGATTAGCTTGATCTAAAGTCGTTTGATTTTTGGAATTAGTTTTCAGCTTTTAGGCAGTTCGTTAGAATGTTCCTTTAATCTGCTTTTGTTCGCTTTTGTGAAGTTTTTAATTCCTTTGCTTAACGAGTTTTCGGAATCATCCAATTTTGATTAAACTGACGAAAAAACTTGTTGCAAAAAACGTCGGGAAAACAGCTTTGTCAAAGATAAATAAAAACATATCTTTTATTCGCGACACCTCGGTTTCTTTCATTCTTCCGAATTTTATTTTACTCTTCTAATTTTATTTTAGTCGTTCAATTTTAATTACATTTTATTTCTATATATTTTATGATCATTACTGAAATAAATTACATTCGCGCATGTCATTGAACGTGAACGTTATCGAAGTAAATAAAAAGTCTTCGGAAATGAGATTAGTTATAAACCCTTGAATTATGTCGAAAAAAATCAGGCAAATATTATTGTATTAAAAATTAAAACAGTACAAATTTAAATATAATATATTTACTTATAACACTAGTACCTGTAAATGTTCTATCAAAAGCACAAAAATATATAAAAACACTTCGTCCACTTTCGAATACTGAGTGACTATATCGTCGAAGTCTGTCAAGTTGGCAACGCAAAAAAATTAAAAGTTGATTTCATAAGTTGGCACGCCTGTGTGTTTGACATTTTTCATTTTTAAGTTGGTAAAAGTGATCGGAAACTGGCACGGCGTGTGTTGTTTCGCGGGTTTTTGCCTCTCGCGTGTGTCAAAGAAAACAAAAGAAAAGTACAACAATCTACGACTTAACAAAAATAAACAACAAGGAATAAAAAGAACTGTGCTTATTTGTGAATATTCTTAAATATATAACAATAAAAAAATAAATAATAAAGTAAACAATTAAGGAGAATCAGGTAATACAGTGTCCTTTGAAATCTTTTCCTCCTTAAAGTTTTTCACGTCTTATCAAGTTTAGAGAAGTTCAAAGAAGAAAGAGGTTTCTTTCAAAGGAAAATGTCAATCGTCGCAGTGATACGTGGGTGTGCGACGATACTGAAAGGCTGCTCGTTCGTGCGAAAATTTCGCGAAGGGAAACATGCAAATGAATGATCTTATAATTCAGGGAAGACCTTTCGTTATCACTCGCTTCCGGGAATTTTGCGTTATGATCCAGTCTATCCTTTCTAATCGAGGCTTCACGGAAAATGCTATCTGTAACCATAAATCCTGCGAGTCAAGGAAACAAGAGTACGCGAGGATTTCAACGAAACTTTCACGCCGACGATTAACGTTGAAACTGACCTAAATTAATACGTACGCCTGTCGAGCATCCAAATAAGCATTATCGGCTTACGAAGGAATATCATTTAGCTGTACAAATTGATTTTGTTTATGAAATACGGTGTCAAGTTGCGGAATCCGAGGGATAAATGCGCGGCTTCAAGGAAGCATTTAAACGATGCGACCGCCAGCTTGGAATTTAAATTTGTACGAATTAAACTGCACACTGTGTTCCTGGATTCGTGGCGGTGATGAGGGGTGAATTAAACTTCAGAAAATATGCGAATTGAAAGCATAGAATAAAAGTTTGTGTATGGGTTTTTTGTAGAGAAAATTAAGCTTGAAAAATTATTACATTTTTTAGTACTGAAATTTGGTAATTATTAAATTTTTAAATTTGGGTGTTTGAAATTTTTTAGTTTGAGAGATGAAGATATGAAATTTGTATATTTTAATGTGTACTAATTTTTATCATTTTGAAGTTCTACATTTTTAAGCTCTATAATTCCAAATTTCTGTAGTCCCAAATTTCTATGGTTCCAATTTCTATAATTCCAAATTCCCAGAAATCCAAATTCCTATAATTCCAAATTTTTATAACCCCAAATTTCCAATTACCCAAATTTGCAAATTCCTGAACTTAAAAATATTAAACCCCAAAATAGAACGAGCTGACATATCCCGAATATCATCTTGAAACAAGTAAGTATATTCCAAAATAGCCATTCAAGACCCATGCGGTACGTTTTCATTTACTCTCATCGAGTTTTCCCCTAAACGGAAATTACTGATGAACGATAGGACCACGACGATGTTGCGAAGAAGGTCTTCATCATAGATTACACAGGAATCTGAACTTTGATAAATTTCATGCGTCTTATTATTTATTGTCTCGATACAAGCGTCTATATGATTGCATTCATGCATTTTGAAATTGACAATTTCTTCAGATGAATATTTTTATTGATGATAATAGATCAGAATAAATATTACAGTTCTCTCATACAATTGGAGTAACTGAAAATATATATTAACAAATAAAAACAATATTTTTAACCTAACCATTTTTAGTATTTTTTAATTAAATTAATTTTCACTGACAGATATATTTTTCAATAATTAATAAAA